ACTGAGATGTAACAAAAATAACGCAAATTTGTGTTGACTTCTTTCGTGCATCCAAAAGTTGTTTAGTCACTTTTAGAAAATGCTTGATCCATAGGTTGATTCATTATAATTTTTAGGTGCCAAATATTGTTGCTGCGGCATCTTTCGCCTTGCCGTGTTGATGGCGGTAATTTAACGATGCATAGAGTCAGTGCCGTTGTAGATGACGAGTGCGAATATGTCGATGAGGGATTTGTGCAACAACTCTTGACCACTGCGACTACCTTGGCGAAGCCATTGCTGATCGTTGGTCCTGTCGGAAGTGGTAAAAGCGCAGTGGTCGTCAAGTATGCGCGGACGAATGGCCGGACGACCGCTGACACTTTCTCTGTAATACATTTCGGCGAAAATATGGACGGAAAGGTAGGAAATTTTCGTGCACATTTTCGCTCGCATCGATATCAGAAACTACGACGAACAGTTGCCTACCTTTGGCAACGCCAGATTACTTGGCCGAAATCAGTAGAAGCACAACATTCCGAATTATCTCTATAGTTTTAGTGCCATGGTGAATTCAGGGTTGATCTTAAAATTATTTATGATTATCATAGACGGACTTCGCGCGGGCTGCTACAGAAGTTGCCGACTGGGATAGCAAACGACCGGCATTGCAATTTGGGGCATGGTTTGTGCCATGGCCCTCCGTAGAACGAAGTACTGAAACGAAATCTCCTAGAGATAGAACTGCAAACGACTACAGAGTTGCTTTGGGTTAAGCAGCGATATGGTTTGTGGCAGACTCATATGCATACTGGAAGCGTCATGCTCGAGTGGCCAGCCTACACATATTCGCTCTCACTGAGAACAACATGAGAAACATCGAAATTAAACTGAAAAACATGACGCCAAAGGGAGATCCGCAAGAATAGAACATATACATATATCGGCGGTAGCCAGCGTTCTTGCTGTGTATTTGATTACAGAAAAATGCACCTCGCGCCATGATGCAGCTTTGACTTTATATAGCTGACGTTTCATCCGGTAGATGTTAAGTCGTTCAGCACATTCACGCAGACGCTTTCTCTGTTAGGGTTTTTGGTTACTCGATCAAGCACAAGTACAGTCGAGGCACACCATGCTCAGTAATATGAAGGTAATATAATCGGGGCAGCACATCGCGTTGTTACGTTTTCTTCACTAGCGAACAACGCTGATCGACGCAAATTCACCATGGTTGCACGTAAAAAGGCAGCCGCTGGGGACTTTGATTACAGAAAATAATAACTGCCCAAACGATTGAGCGAGTTCGCATATACGGCGTATCCAGTGTTGTTGGGGCTGCTTACCACAGTGACTTTTCAAAATTGCTGATATAAAAATGTGTTTATATTCTATGCTGTGAGACAGATCGTGGTTTAGGCGCTTTTCGGATATTACCATTGTACGGAGGTACCTGGGGAATTCCAGTGGAAGTTCGGACTCATCACTGAGGTTTGTGTACTTCGCTGCAACAGCAGCTGTTTGAAATCTATCGGTCAGACTGTCTGGTAATTTTAGGCGATGGTGAACGGCAAATGGCTTTTGCTAGAGGATGTTGATCACGCGCCCAGTGATGTTCTCGGATACCTGGCTTCGGTTTTGGAGACTCGCGCCGTAAAAATAGCTGGGCGTAGAACGATTACCGCCAGTCCAGATTTTCAGCTGTTCGCCACAGCTAGGTAATGCCTTTGCGACTCTCACGCTCAGGAAGCAAGATCGTACTTAATATAAACAGAACTGAAGTTTTTCAGAACCGACTGCGGCGCGTCAAGATTGAATGCGGAGGTGTCGCTGGTGTTAAGAAAATTTCCCATGTTTCTCAGTCTCAAATCCTTTACCGTCACCCGGATGCGTAAGGTAAAATACTGACTTGCGCCACTGTGTTTCTGGGAGACTAGAAGTGGTGATGAACTCGATGCCGTGGACTTGGTCTTTTTTGAGCCATAAGTTACATATATAAGATATAAGTAACTCGTCTTATAAGTTTTATTGAACATGTCCTCATACCTTCATTTCATGCAGGACTGACTCGTATTGGTGCACGAAACATTTCTGATTTTATCTAAATTTCACTGGAACTGCGCTTTTGTCTTTATTCCACTAGTTGGAATTTTGCAGAGTCATTTTATAAGTTTTATTGGCGTATCGCACGGAAACGTAGTCCATGTATCTCTTTATTTATTATCTGGATCATTTCAGTGTTTACTATAACTGAGAAGTGGCTTATTCCAATCCGATGATACATTGGTTGACCGCGTTATCCCGTGCCCTATCGTCTGTGCTCTCTCCTGCTATTTTAAGTTTTCGCGGTTGCTTACATTGCTTAGGACTAGACCAAGGTTTTTTTGGCTGTAATGCGGTATAAGCAACAGATTATCGATCTACACTGAATGATGACGCAGTATCATCATGCCGCGTTACCTATCATGTAGTTAAAATTGAGGCTCGGCAGCTACGGTTACCTAAAAGTTCGTAAAAGACCTCAGGGGCAGATCACAGATGGAATATGAAAGTTATTGAAGCACAGATCTTCATAATTGAACTGTCTGGAAGCTAAAGAGGACTGGTTGAAAAAGCAGAACACTCTCAGTTGGAAACTCCTGTTGTCAAATCTGTCAGGTGCTGCAGTTCCAAGGTCGTTGACCTAGAAAATTGGCGAAAGTTTTTCTAGATGTGAGCTGATCCGATCGTGTTAGGTAATGCAGGAGTGGCGATTTTGGTAATTCCTCATCTGACAGATTATGTTGTTGTTTGTTGCACCTCCGAGAGAATGGTTTGCAGGTATAAGCTGGGTTTCACAGAAACGCTGCTACCTCTGATGCAGATGTTTGTTGCTGGTTTTAGTTATATTGCAAATCCTTCCCAAAGGTCGTGGCCAGTGTGTCTTGGCTAAAACTTAGCAGTAATATAAAGACCTTAACCGGTCTGGTCGTATCTCTAGCCTTCGAACCTGTGCCGTTTACATTATTGTGTGTTCTTCAGTGCTTTGAACTTCAGAATTTTATGTTGGTTCGCATGGCTTGCATTCTGAAATGCACTTCGCCGTTTATCGCTCCGTTTTTCGTCGGCACTGACCTAAACGCCCAGGTCAGGGCCGATTATCCAAATTGGCCGCGGACATTAGGTCGTTATGGCAGAGGATCATAATGACAATTGCCTTTTCCTGTTAGATCTTTGTGCATCTCACGGGATGTTCATTGGCGAATCGCAGTTTCCCCACAGATTAATTCATCAGCAAACGTGAGTGGCACTAGGCGAGAACTTAAAACTTCAAATCGATCTCATCATCGTAGTCAAAAAGTAACGAAGTTCTGTCGAATGACATGCGATGCAAGCGGGTGATGCACATCGGATCTGATCACTTCCTATTGGTTGCGAAGCTCTGTCTCTGGTAACTTCTGGAGGAGCTATGATGGATGAAGATGGGAAACACCGCTTCGACCTGAGCAAGCTCAAAGATCCATTTACGTTTGTGGTGTTCAAAACAGAAATTGGCAGTACATTCGCTGCTGTAATTGGTACTAATCAAGATCAAGAATCGCATCAGCCGCTTTATAAGCAGGTGAAGATTAACATCCTCGAGCGAAATGCCAGTGCTGTTCGCTCTTGAGAGAACGAATTAAAGAAACCTGGTATCTTCGTAGAAACAGAGCTTCTCCAAAAACTAAACGTTACAAAGCACTCATCGTTGCGGTTAGAGAGGAACTCTGCCAACGAAGACTACATGAACACTTGGTCAAGGCGGTGAACAAGAGTTACCGTATTGACCAAACACCATGATTGAAAACGGAGGCTGCAGTTTTTAACAAAGCGGCGGGTGACTGGCGGGCTGTGCTTAAGCAAGTGGCGGCTTTTGATTGACAAGGGTGGCAAGATAAAGGGTGCTCGGCCTTCGTTACGCGACTAGAGGAACGAACATTTGCATGATGCCGTCAATCGCAGGAAGTACCATTTCGCTGATCTACTGAGCGGTACAAGACCACCTCCTGAAGAATCTCGACTGAACGAGGAGACTCATTAATATCCATTGCTACAGCTGAACATTCTTTGCTCATCCCCTAAGCCAGATGAAATCCGATTGGCTCACCTTGTGCAGCTTGTGCAAAGGGTCAGTGATTAGCGGACTCGATGAGCTCTCCAGAACTCCTGAATTACGGAAGTGAAGGCTTGATTCACCAGAAATTGGGAGTGATACCTAAAGACTGAAAGATGGCAGTAATGAAGCTAATCTTCTATCATAGTCACTACCAAGGGATCACCTTGCTACCGCTGTTTTCCTCAAAATACGAAGATTTAAGGTTGAACAGTCGCTGCCGGCAAACCAAACGGGACTCTGAAGTTGTTGCTCTTGTGCGGATAACGGATATTCTTACGGCGGTTTATGAAATAGTTCCGAATATCATCCGGCGTTCTTGAAGGTTAAGTCCTTGCGCCACTGCTGTTCAACATCGCCATCACCGTTGATTACATCATGTGGAATAGTGCCATTCGAATCAAGAAAAGACTAACCTTTCGAAGAAGTTCCAGGTATCCAGCGGTGTACATGACCGACTTGGAGTATTATGACGACATTGTTATATTGAGCGACTCAGGCGATGGTCTGGAAACCCTTCCTGCCAGTGTGTGTAATGTGGCAGATGAGCTTTGGCTACGTGCTGATCCAGCAAAATCAAAAGTGATGAAAAGTGAGCACCAGCCGTGGCCGACACCATCGAGATCAATGGTGATGTAAGTTGACCGATTAAAATGCTTGGATTCAGTTGTCGCCAGCGACAAAAGCTGGAACTCATACATTAACCGGCAAATCAGAATTGCAGCAGCAAACTTTGCGAGGCTGCTTAGAAAGTAGAATGATCGCTCAATATCTATGAGAACGAAGGTTAACATCTTGAAGGCAACAGTCTTCTCTGTTCTCTTGTATAGCCTAGAAACAGCAGTTCTCAAGCATCAAGAACATCAACTGAACTGCTTCCTGCAACGTTGCTTGCGCAACATCCACAAATCCCGGTGGTATTATCTTGTAGCGAACGACCGCATATTCAGAACCGCGAAGTTAAAGAAACTCTGAAAAACTGAAAAATCGACGCCTGTCCTGGTTCGATAAAGTGGCTCAAAATATAAGACGTCACAAAAATGTTCCTCGTGTGACAGCCGACCACGAAGCATAGAAAAGATAGATGGCCAGTTTAAAAGCTGGCAGAACCTTTCATAATATGTTATTCTCGCACCAGAGTATTTCCTTTGTCAAAACGATTACTGTTTAAAAAACTCGAGGACTTCCTTCTTGTATGTCGAACATCATTAAGCTGTAATAGATGTTAAACAAGGACTGCAACAGTCTCTCATCTACCTACTACAATTTTCATTGTGTCGTTCTCTGAGTAAGGCCACTAAAGTGGACAAATTTTAGTTATTGCACGTTTAGGCTTTAAGTCTTTGCCAGAAATGCACATTGAAAACGGAAGCTCGGAGGTTAAATTTAGTTTTTTATTAGTTTAAATCCAATTTGACCGACGTTTGCAGTGCCCCAAGTAATTCTTCAGAAGTTGTTTTACATACTTTTGTTTGCATTGGCTTTGACTCTGCAATTGTTGACTATGCCTGATTAATATTAAAGTAATAACGATGTTTTGCCTGTACTGTTGACTGATATTTCTCATTTTAAATCCATTCCAGATGATTCTTGACAAATACCCGCGATTATCTAAGCTAACAGATTGCATGCTCGAGATATTTCATTCTCTGATTGACGTGACCCGAAGCGCCCATCATCGTATGATCTCGTTTCGGTAAGCGTATATGATTTTGTTGATTGGTATGGCTTAATAGTGATTTTCTGCTAGGGATTTATCGAAGTGGTGCCACCGAGTCAGTTATTTCGAGTGCTTCAACGACGCGGTTGGTATTTTTCAGAATGCAGTCGATTGTTTGGTTGCTCATATGCGAGATCCGCAAGCTAGGTTGGATCATATGATGCGTGTTGGAGTTAGGATGAACATGAATAAGGAACAGGTACAGAGACGGTCATGGTTACATTTACTTATTCATTTTTTACATATATTTTTTTAATCAAGGTTACTTACTACTTCGAAAAGTACAAGCCAAGAGTGGACGCCGATTCGAACAGGATAACCGTAGGGCGAGTCAGGATTGACTGTCTTCGTTCTATGTCAGTTGATACTAGGTAATTGTTTCGCTTTGCGCCCCGCTAAATGGCGGCAACTACGAATGTTGAAATCACATTCAGTAGATATTGAGGCATAGTTTCGGTGAAGAGCCGGAAATGTCCATTTTGAGCATGCTGCGGACATTGTGCACAGACGTCTGTTTATAGGCGAAGACGATTAACGGCCTTATTCTTTTATTACCCACGGCTGTGAACGTTCGAAGTTAACACCAACGACAGTTTTTCTCAGCTCGTTCCCTGAACTACGAATCAATTATGATCACTAACCTCAGTTGCTTTGCATCTAAAAAATTATTCTAAGTTATGATCCCGTAGCAGATTTCATCTTTCGGATAACCCATCTGACTATGGCTGTTCATGTGATTCTGTAGAAAATTTTACTCGAATGGTTCAGATTTACAGTGACGAAGCTATCTTGTTATTTTGAATGTGACTAATGCCGAAGTGCTAGGCGTTAGAGTTATACAATTTTTGCTTATCAAAAGATCTTCGTTGTTTCGCTTTTCTGGACTTCAGTAGTATTTCTGCGCCATCCTTTCGACCTTTCTGCAGTTTTTGCACCATTGCGAACTTGGCTCTGTCGCGCATACGCTTACATTAGCGTGGAGGCTAGGGTTTGCTTCGAAGATAACGCAGGCACAGTCGGGACTAGGTCTCTGTGAAAATTCTACTTTTTAGAAGTGCCGTGTTTGCGTTTTCTCGACCTGCGTGTACGCTTTTGGAACAGATCGCGCTTTGCACAGAGCTCGATGAGCCGGTGCTGCTGGTTGGTGATACGGGCTGCGGCAAGACGACGACGGTGCAGTTTCTGGCTGAATACGTTGGTAAGTCTGCATGGTTACCGGTCGGTGACAAATTAGTGTTAACTAAATTTTGACTGATTTGCAGGGAGAAAACTGTCAGTGATCAATATGAATCAGCAAAGTGAACTGACCGACCTGATCGGCGGGTAGGCGTCAACGCAACTTTATCTATCGGAGTTGCTTGTGTGCTGATTAATGAAGTCTAAAACGACTGACTGTTTTCAGTTACAAACCAGCCGACTTACGAGCCAGTTTCATGCGGCTGAAACAGTTGTTCACTGTGCAGTTTTCCAAGACGTTCTCCACTACAAAGAACGAACGTTTTCTCAAACACGTTCAGGTTGGAAAGTTTTTGACTGTCGTTGTTGGTGTGCTCCACTGTTCTCATACTTTAAGACATGCTTCGTCAACGCAAAGTGGCAGGAGCTGATCGGTCTGATCCGGTACACCGCTTCGAAGGCGATCGAAAAGAACGACAGCTCCGCTTCTCACTGGCAACTGCTACTGCAGGAAATACCGAAATATCAGACTTTGGTCGACAGATGCAGGGAAGGCGTTATGTTTTCTTACGTGGAGGTATAACTTCTTAACGGCTAGGCGCTGCATGCTTGTCTTCATGCACACAGCCATGTAAGACCGATTGGTTTCTGGCTGCCAGTTATGTTGTTAGTCATTGATTGTACACCATAGCCAGAGCAGACTCATC